TCTAACTTTCTATAACCACAGTATCTATATCGGTTAACAGTAACCGTGATTGTATATGATATCAATGTCGGTTATGCTTATAACCGACATAAAATGTTAAACTTTCTACGTCGGTTATGTCATTAACTGACGTAGAAAGTACTTTCTACGTCGGTTAATGACATAACCGACGTAGAAAGTGTTATTTTTTTTTTACAGAACCTGCATTTTCTTCACAGATCCTACCTTTCTTCGAGTAAACCTGTCTATTCATCATAGTTCCAGACAAATATTCACAGTTCCAAACACTTGTACAGACAGATATGCACAGTTCATATATAGTTTCAGACAGATATGTACATATATGAAACATATTGAAATCAATATATATGTACCTCAGTTCCAGACAGTTCATTTACTTAAACGAATGTAAATTTGCTAACTTAAATCAATTCAATCAAAATTGTTACAAGTCAAATTTACTATGAAGATTGAATACTTAAAAGGAAAGAAGTCCACTACTCTCTAATATCGTCTAACACTTCAATCTTCAATGGATATGAGTCTGTAAATTCCTACATATTGAAACATTTCAGATTTAGAAACCATTTACATAATTGGCATATTTGACTTAATTATAGTATATTTACCTCCCTCCATGAGTCAATAATATTTTTGGCTACGATGGTGTGCATGTGCTTCATCACATAATACTCACACTCATGGCTTCCCGGTTGGTGTGGACACTACAAGTTAAATACATGTCAGATTAAATTTAAATGACAAATTGAACAACAATAAGAGGAATGTTTGGTCACCTTTGGTGCAATATACGTCAACTTCTTTCTAGCATGAGATGGAAGGTCTTGCAACCTTAGGTGAGCTTCCACAGCTCTACAAAAGGACAAATAATTTTGGTGTAAGTGCACATATGATACAACAATTAAAAAAACCAAACTTACGCGTCTATGTGCTTTCTAATATCCAAATCATTTGGTTTTATACACAACCACGGAGGTAAGTTGTAAATAACTAACACCACAGGCCATGAACTATGTTTACTGCTTAAATCTCCATATGGATTCATTCCATCTGTAGCAAGTCCAAACCTAATGTTTCTTGGATCATTACCAAAATTTTGGAAGATGGAATCAATTTTTTTTCATTGCAATCCATTTGCCGGATGTCTCAACTGACCATCTTTAATACGACTATTTGCATGCCATCTAGTGAGTTTTGCATCATTTCCATTAGTGCATAATCGTTTCAACCTTGGAACAATGGGAAGATACCATAACACTTTTGTCGGGGTACCCTTCATTACATCATTGTCAGAATCACCATCCTTCTTCTTGTATCGTAATTCCCCGCATTGTGGACATTCGTGAAAGTTCTCAAATTCTTTTCTGTACAACACACAATCATTCGGACATGCATGAATTTTTTGGTACTCCATACCCATTGGACACAATATCTTCTTAGCATCATAATTGCGAGTTGGCAATGTGTTACCTTCAGGGAGCATGTCACTCAACAGCTCAAGCAATTCTGTGAAATTTTTATCAGTCCACCCATTCTTTGCCTTCACATTGAACAATTTTAGTACCACCGACAATCGTGTGAACTTAGTACAATTTGTATATAAAGGCTTTTTTGCATCACTGGACAACTTCCCGTACACATGTGTATGTTGGAAGGCATCTTGTCCAAGCTCACGAATCATTTCCTCCAGCTGATCATCCATCTCTAGATCAACTTCTTCTTTGTCTTCTACACTTGGCATGTTTAATAATTCACCATGTCATGTCCACTTTATGTAACTCTTTAGGAAACCATCACAAAGAACATGTTCCCGAATAACTTCAGTCGGTAATCTTCGCTCATTCAAGCAGTTAACACATGGGCAATAGAATCTTCCATCATTATCCGGAACATTCATCTTAGCAAATTCAAGGAATTGTTCTACTTCACTCTCATATTCATTTGTTGTTCGTCTATAATTGATCCAACTCCGATCCATTGTTACCTTCTGTCACATAACACAACATATAAGTATAGTTTGAGGATGATAACATCCAACATGTTTTGCTGAAATTGTGATGTCACGTGATTGGATATTTTAATCTTTCAATAGGAAGTTTTGTCCTACAATGGATCATTTCATGACTGACTCCAATCAAGGCTAACCCTATTGTCTCACATTAGGGTGAGCATAAGCGATGATAGTTTTCACTTAAAATGAAATAACTACATTATAATACAAATCTAATTTTCAAAATCAAAATCACGAAAGAATGTCTACAGAAACACATTCAAATGACTAAACTACTTACAATACGTCTCTAAATTAGCTAAAGGCACTCGTGATCTTTCCATCTCTTGATAGCATTATTACATACCAGATTCAAAACTGTAAACCTACAATGGCTAAAGCAAGCACGGAAACTTACCTCTTGAAGACCTACAGAGGTGGCAGGTGGCGTGACGTGCAGAGCTGGGTGGGGAGAAACGTACACAGGCGACGGGCACCAACGACAGTAGCAGCAGGCAACACGACGTACAGAGTTGGCAGGTGGCGTGACGAACAGAGCTAGGTGGGGAGAAACGTACACAGGCGATGACGTTCGTAGAAGAGACAGAGAGAACGGGGAGCTCTGCTATGGGTGAAGTGATGAAATGGAGCGTCGCGACAGGCGTAAAACAGAAGATACTATGTCGATTACCCTAACACCCGTCATCAAATACACTTTCTATGTCGGGTAAATTTTACCCGACATAGAAAGTGAACTTTCCACTTACCATGTCCGTTACCTATTACCCGACATAAAAAGTTTATGATTTTATTACAAAATTGATACTGCGCTACATACTATGACGCGTGGACTACGATCGTGATAAAAACTCGTCATAGAATGCTATTTTTCCACTAGTGAATATAATAAATTAAAAAAGCTTACGAGATTTAATAATTCTAGTTTAATAACGATATAATAAAATATTATATATAATATATTTAACTTAAAAATAATATATTTATCTCTATTTTTAATATATTAGATAAATGGATTAAAAAAAATCATAAACACGATTTTAAAAATCAGATCGGTCAGTTCGACCGTTAAACAAGATTCAAATCAGTGATTTTAAATAATCAAATTTTAATTAAATAAAAAAAGTGAAAAAATTGGATAAAATCGAAAAAACCAGTTTTTGATATTTTAGTTAAAAAAATTATAAATAAAAAAATTTTAATATAATTTTTTATAAAAAATATAATATATTTTATTTTTTATAAAAAATATAATATATTTTATTTTTTATAAAAAATATAATATATTTTATTTTTTTATATAATTACGTTAATTTTAAACAATAATTAATTTATTATATTTTAATAATTATCTATTTTTCATTCTCAAATATATTTTATATTTATAATTTTTATTATAATTAATAATTATTATTACAATAATTTTTATTATTTTTTATAAAAAATTATTATTATTAATAAATGTATTATATTATAAAAAATATTTTATTAAATCAATTAAAATTTAAATTTAAACTCATATTCCCTTATCCATTTTAAAGACATTAATTCCTTAGAGGATCAACTTATTTTCAAACCAATGAACACGTTGTTGTACTCGTAGGTATTAGGATCAAACTTAGTTAGTTGTTAACGTATCTCAAAAATATAAATATAATTTCACTAATCAATTTTTTTCTAATAATTGTTGTTTATGTGCTTTTAAAATTTTGATGTCTTTATGTCAGATTTTTTTTTCCAGGTCAATTGTAAGTTTTAGAAAGAAAATTTAAAATTTCCTCAAAAATAAACAGATTATAGCCGTTCACAAAATATTTTTCTTACTTTTTTAGAAAAATATTTAGTAGCTTTGATGAACCACTACAATGGTTGGTAATAAGTTATAGTTAAACAAAATTGTCGCTTATTAATTTTATTTCCATATTTTATAATTGATTTTTCAACTTTTTGACGAATAGTATATTAACAAACAATTTTTGTATACTTTAATGGTAATAAAGTTTGAATATCTAACTTTCAAGTCTTCACGAAGCCAAAATAATTATTTATCTTATATTAACAATTTTATAAACATTCATAAGAAAATTGCGAATAACTAAAGCTCATTATTTATCTTATATTAACAATTTTATAAACATTCATAAGAAAATTGTGAATAACTAAAGCTCATTTTATGCTTCAAAAAGAGAATGCTGTAACTTAGTACTTGCAAGTTCTGTTACCTTTAGGTGGGTTTTTTATATAATGAATGTTTTAACGTAGAAATTTCCCATGTGTAATAAAAGAAAATAAAAATACTCTTCCCACTTAAAACATTTCAAGCTAGGCAATCTAATGTGTAGCTAATTGATAATTAAACTCTTTAGTTACCTTTACATATAGGCATATGAACCTAGATTCTCGTTCAACTAGATCAACACATGTTCCTGCATTCATAATCTAATGGTCCAAGTTTTCTTAAGTTTATAGTTTTTAAACTTTTAAATATGGAAGGTAGAGGTTCTTGTTGCATTCTCTCTCTATACTGGAGAAAATCCAATTCTTATAAGAATATATATCCACACACGATCCTAAACAATTAGTAATAAAGAAATATTCCTTTGAGAAAAAGTAATAATAAAAATAATATTTTATTAGTTAAAATTCATTTTTTATAGATTAATTAAAGGTTAGATTAAATATAAAAAAAACTAACTCCAACAAAATAGTGTATGTATAAATTAACTTTAATTCATGATTTTTTTTTATCAGTCGACCCCGAATGTGTGTGTGTATATATATATATATATATATATATATATATATATATATATATAAGAAAGAGAGAGAGAGAGATTATTTATTTATTTTGTTATTAGAGTTAATGTAACAATTAAACATATATATTTTATAATATTTCTCAAATAAATTTGGAAGAAAATAATCTACTTGAGAACTAGGATTTCCTGCACTATACAGCAGCACCTTATGATTAGTAACTACCATAATTCAGAAGGCTAAGTTCAAGCCTCCTCTGCCTATTGACTCTTGCAATAAAATCATCAGCCCTTTTGTTCAATTCATCGGAACAAGAAGGAATCAAACGTTGTTCATCTCCTGCATCTATGTTGTCTTCTTCTTCGGATGCTTCAGCACCTTTCTCCACCCACCCTTTGCACTTTAAGTCCACACTGTTCATGTCCAAAATTTCGCCAACATGTTTCTCCAATGTTTTACCTTGGATGACCTCAACAGTTGTAATACAAGGTTTTGGGGTTTGGCTGCTCTGAATGTACTCATCATAGTAAACAACACAAGTTGAAGAGGAATCCGAGGAAAGGATTCTTGAGTTTACCACAAGGAAAAAAATGATGAGGTTGCCTATGATGAATAAGAGCTTTGAGCTCAACAAAAATGGTATTAAACTTGAGATGTGGACCAGGAAAAAGACCCGGAAAAGAGAAGAAAGATAGGGCATGCAGAAGGAGACACAACAGAACACAGTGCAAGTTAAGGCACTCACAAAATACACATACAAATTGTTCAGGAACTCGTGCCTCTTGTACCTCTTCATGGCATGAATTTTCTTGAATTGTGTAGGATCCATTAGGCTCAAGTTTTGGGTTTAGGGAAGGTTGGAAAGGTGCTAAGGTATATAGGAGAAGATGGGGGAGAATTTATTTCACTGAACTAAGAGCATTAGAAATTACACGTTATATAGATTGAGAAAAGGGATTGGTTAGTAAAATTACTCACATGCTACTTTTTTCATTATTTGATAAGAGGAATATTTTGGCTACTTTTTCAAAAGCCTCATGGGACATGGTGGCGTGGAGTTTATTGCAACCTTTTTCGTTTCAAATTTGAATAATTTACTGACTCTGCTAATGCTTTCCTATACATTACTTTCGTTTTGTTGACAATGATAGTGCATGCTTCTTCATCTCATTGCAAACCCTTGTATAGTTAATTTAAGCTAAGCTGGCAATTCAACACGTTCCTTATAAGTAATAACTTTGTTCATAACTTTGAAAACTAATAGTTTCAGAAAAAAAAATGTATATTAATACATGAAAAACATTAATGTCCTTAGACTCTTTGGAAGTTTAATTTCGTCTCGCATGCAAAGCAATTTGAAAATCTTAATTTATCTATTTACACGCATATAAATACTAAAAACTAAAATAGTAAATATGAACATGGATGGAGATGAGAAACTAAAATAATTAATTTCAATAAAAAAATTAAAACAAGGAATAACATACTACGTAAATTTTACTGCACATTCCCATTAAGAAAAGAATATCATTTTGACTGATATAAATTGGCAGCAAAATCTCCCCTAAAAGTCTTTCTGTATATATCTTTCCCTTTTCTTTTCTATTTTCCTTTCTGGGGTCTTACTGGGATAAATTTCGGTTAAAGAAACCCTTTAGCTTTTTCTTTTACATTTCTTCAAGCAGAAGCCTCGTTATTGAGTATAATGGATCGTGAAGAATATTACCAATTAAGAGAATCAGATTTAACTTTTAACAATGACACAGAAGAAAAATAATTCACTGTTTAATCACACATCTCTCGGTAGTTCAGATCAAACATGCATGAGACACAATTAAAGTACGCACAATGCAAGTTTCTTTATGTTTTGCACATGTTCGACACAAATTTGATAAAAACGATGATGATAAAGATTGCTTGGGCATTTCCACAAAGATAGAATTTTCATGTATAGTTCCAAATTCCATCGTAAAAAGATAAAATATAATAAAAAATATTGATTAATAATAACAAAAATACAATTCATAATTTGGTTAAGTTGCATGCTTACTCTTAAGTGTGAATTTTGATAAAAAAATAATATAGGTTGATAATCCACATATATATCTCACTAACAATTATATATATATATATATATATATATATATATATATATATATATATATTAATATTTTTAGTTGTTAAAAGGTTATGTTGATTATCAAAATATCATTACTTTGATAAAGTAAACCAATTTGTTCCGTTTTGTAAAAGTATGTTGGTGTAGAAATTACGAGGCTTGTTGTTTCCTGTTTTAGAAGTAATTTTTAATATGTTAATCTTTGAAAGAGTGATTATATACAGACAAATGTTATCAATCAAACTACCAGTAGATGACCCTCTATATATTAATATAATATAATTTAATCAAAAAAATAATTTAAAAATATTATTATGTTGGTAAAAAGTGAAATATTTGCTTTTTTTCTTTTTAAAAATTAAAAACTTGTTTAATAATTATTTTGTTTTTCTTTTAGAAAATAATAAAAGGTGCTTTTATTTTAGTTTACTATTTTTATTAATGAATATTAACGGTTTCTCTATAATTACATTAAATTACTTATTTTATTACTATAAAATTATCAAAATTATTTTTTACGATTTTTGTTGATCATATATATTAACAGTTTTTAAAAATAAATTTATCAAATAATTCTTTTAAACTTCTTCTAAAAAAAATGATTTCTAAAAACTAAATCAAACCTGAATATTTGGAAGAATTTAGGTAACTTTATCGAATTAATTATGTTTTTTTTTCAATTGTTAATTTAATTCCTTAAAATAAAGAATAAAGAAAAAAAATTACACTTACAATTTGTCACCTTATATGTTTACTTCGCAGAAATTTAAAAACTATTTTAAAAAGCATTTATTAAATATCATATGTAACTAATTTCTTATTTGATATAAACTTGTTGAATAAACGTAGTCATTATCACCTTCGACCCTTATGCATGGCAAAGGCACCAAATACAGAATGATAAATATAATCATGTGCCAAATCAGTGAATGAATAAATAAAAGCAGATAGAGGAAGAAAACAATATATTATGAACAAGTGTTGGAGTATTTGCTCGATGGCTTAGTCATCTTGTTAGCTTTATTAGTCAGTGCAAAGCAAAGCTCAAAGGACTCTTGGGATATGAAGGGGGCATGGTTCTTGTGGTGATCTGCAAAAGTTGATAAAAAGCATTTTAGTTGGCCTGTACTGGGACCCTTCCCTTCCAGAAAAAGAAAAAGAAAAGAAAACTCATTATTTGGATCACAAAAGATTGAAAGATATAAATAAATTTATTTATTTCTATGTGATAAATACATAATACAAAATGTTGTAAAGTTTATCGTTAATGGTATGTTAAGTGTCTCTTTTTATTTTACTGTAGTAAAATGTTTAACGATCCTAAAATAAACCATTTTTTTACAGGCCCATTTCATATAGGCCCACCAGAGCCCAACAGGGCTTTACCAAAAATAATTTATTTTACAACAAAAAATTATCTACAGAATCAGATTTTTTTTTTTAGTTAACATTCTAATACTATAATCTTTAAATATAAATTATATAGCCACTTTGAGTCAGTCATGTCCGAAAAATTTGCTACCAAGTAACAATATATTTCTTTTAATATTTACTCATACTAATTTTATTAAATAAAAAATTGTTGATATCAAATTATAAAATCACTGAATCCAACTTGTATAAAATTTATTAGATAAAAAAGTAAAAAATAGATATAATTGAAGTTTTGATTATTTTTCTCCAATTTGCCCTTTTACCGTGAACATTTCTATTGCATGTTAATTTCTCAAATGTTGAGAGTGAAAGTACAAAAGTAATAGTACCCACTTCATTTTTTTTATTTTTTACGTTCTACTGGACGAGATTGTGATTTTCATTCATAAATTATTATAAAAATATAATTTTAAAATTTATGTTTATCCAATTAAATAATAATTTTTATCTGTTATTTGTAATTATATTATCTCTTATTTATCTTTTTTTTATACGATTCACCTTTTTATAACCTTTTATTTATATTTATTTATTTATTTTTATCTCTGTCAAACATAACTTAACATTCTGACATGTTGTAGCCTCCGACACCCAACGGTTAGGCATGGCGGGCGGTTGCCCCAAACTCTTTTAACCATTTCTTTCTTCTTTCCAATGGTTATAAATATTTAAATAACACAAATTTTGATAAATAATAAATAAATAAAAAATTATGTCATAAAAAAAATATAATAAAAATAATTTAAAAATAAAATGATATTAGATATTATTAAAATAAATATACAATATTTAAAAATATATAAAAAATGAATAAATATTTATCAAATTGATTAAAAACATTAAGAAACAAAGAAGGGTAGAAAAAGGACAATAAAAATATAAAAAAGTAAAAAAATAATAAATATTTGTCAAATAAATTAGAAAGATAAAAAAAATATGAAAGATAGAAAAAGAACATGAAAAAAATTTGAAAAAAAATTGAAAAAAATTAAAAAAAACATTTGAGTGAGAATAAAATAAATAATATAGAATAGATAATAAAATATGTGTTTATATAATCTAAGAATGAAAGAGGGTTAATTTTAAAGTTTAAATTTAAATATACAAAAATATTTGAAGGAGATTGGATAAAGTTAAATAAGAAGATTATTAATATGACTAAGAATAGATATATTAACTTTATTATTATTATTATTATGTGTTTAGTGAGATTTTGACTTATAATTTACAAAAAAAATTAAGTAAGTTATTTAGTGTAAACAAATATTTTTTATTAGAAAACTAATAAAATTGAAATATAAGAAGTATTTTTCTATGATAAAAAACGTGAATGTCTAAAGATATTAGGGGTGAATTGAATTTTTTAATTTTTGTTCAAATTTAATCAATTATTTAAAATATTTTTATGATAATCAAATTTAAAAAAATTTAGAAGAGTTGTTAAGATCACAAGAATATCAAGATAAAAAAAAGAACAAAAGAGTATACTAGTTTGATTTTTTTTTAATCTACATCAAGTTTCATCAAACAACTTTAGCTTGAATTTTTCTTTAAAAATTGTTTAGTAACCAGATTACAACATAATCTGAATATATTGACTACAACACTTTTTAATCAAGATCTAAAAATAACTCACAATACTTAAAAATGCTTATCCACGCAATTTTCAAACTAATTTGATATAATTCACCTCACATACATCAAAATATAATAAAAATTCACAAAAATTATTTTATCTTAAACTTTTGGAACACTGCATTTTATAACAAAATAATCTCTTTATTGAGTTTGATTTTCTTCAAAATGTTTTACAAAATCACAAATGTTTTCTTCATGCCCACAACAACATTCTTCTCAATGCCTTAATAGTTTATAAATATGTGTTTAATATAAGAAAGTTTACATCATTCTATAGAGTTTTAATTCTGTTACAACTTATTTAGGTAATCGATTATTAACAAACTAAAACAAAGACAAATAATCGATTAGGTACTAACATAATTAATATAATATGAAAATATAAATTTAAATCATATAATCGATTAAGTACTAGTCTAATTAATTAATACAAATTGTATAATTGATTAGTTTTAACTTTTTATCTTTTTTATTTTAATAAATATTAGATCATTTAGTTTTAAAAAAAAAAAAAAACTCCTGTCACAACTACTTAACTATCTTATAAAAATATGATAAAAAAATATTTCTTCAATCAAATTTTTTTTTCTTTAACACAATTGTCCTGAATGGGATGAAAAAATTGAAAAAAAAACATAAAAGAATAAAATTTGAGCGAGAATAAAACAAAGAGTATAGAATAGATAACAAAATACATGTTTATATAACGTGAGAATGAAATATAAGTATTTGAAAGAAGGTTAATATTTTAAGGTTTAAATTGATTAACGGATATATTCACATCCACATGAATATTTTAATTACTTGTATATTAACAGAATATGTCTGATAGTATGATATCCAACCACGTATACATGTTAAAAATTTGTATTTAATATAATTATCAAAATAATTTTATTGATAAAAAAAACTAACTATTAATTTTTTTTAAATTAAAATTTATAAATTTATACTTTTTTATCTAAATATATGAAATTTGAGTTATTTGAAAAAGCTATCCTCAAGGATATAAACCATCATCCCTTTGTAAAAAGAAAAATATTTTGTATGAAATAATATGACATGATAACTTATTTTATGATATATATTAAGAAAATCTGGTAGAAATATATAACAAAGTTTATTTTTCAAAATATTTTGCTGATATATTTAATAGAAAAATGTATTTTGATAAAATACATAGTTAAAACTAATTTACATAATATTGTTTTGTTAAGGTGTAGAACATAAATGATATTGTAGTAAAATAAGAGTTAAAGCGTTTTAATGTCAAACTGGGGTGGAAATAGTAAAGATTTTAACAATAGTAAAAATAAAAAACAACGGTGAGTCCATTATCTGAAAATGGTTCGAGGCCCAAAGACCTAAAATAATAAATTATTAAATATATTTGAAAAAACATGAACCGTCCACGTGTACATCAAGTCCAATCGCAGTGGTTCTTTCACTCATAATAAACACGCTCCATCTCAAACCCTAGCACTCATCTCATTCTATGTGAAATCAGCACTGCAAGCACTCTTATGGCTAGACGCATATATCTTCTGAGCTGTGAGGGTTTTCCGTTCAATTATTAGTTGTGTGTACACATCAAGGAATTGTTATTGCTTGGTTCAATTAGGTTTGTTTGTCAATTAGGTTTCTTTGTCTTCCGTATTTTCTAAAATTATTGTTTCTTTGTTATATTTTTCGTTATAAATCATCTGATGAGAAACAAAAACTGCAACAATATGATTGGATTCATTCCATGATTCCTTGTATTTAAGTCTCTGATGATTCACACATTATTATTTTTTAGTTCCTGAAATCCTATTTTGCTTTCTTTCGCTGTTTTTGTTTTGCTTGAAATTTCGTTTCGCCTTCATCTCATGGTTATTCGATTAGATCCGAAAGCGAGGAGAGGTGATGATTTTTACATTGGTCCGTGTTTCTGAATCACCGTGACCGACAACTTTTACCAATTTCTGATCTCCAGTTGCAGACAATACTGTTTTATTTTAACCGTTTATTAAATTCGTATATTAAATTGGCTTCATGTGTATGTTGTAATTTGATTTCTTTGGCTCAGTGATTTTCTGCTGTAAATGCAGGATACGCCATTCTGATTCATAATGTGAGCAGATATTTTAGTTTTAGAATAGATGATAGCCATTCTCTTGTAAATTTTTCGAAATCTCATAAATGTATTTCTTCAAATTTTATGCAACTGATTTAGATATTTATTTCGGATTTTGAATTTCACTATTGTTTTCCGTTCATCTCATTCTGCAGTGACGAATTAAGAATAAAATTCACATGTCAGACTTCAGAGATTATCAAATCAATGAGAATGACAATTCTTCTTACTGAGCAGAACTTGTGTTAATGTTTTTAACTATATATATGACTGAACTGATGATATTTATTGGAACATTTGTTTTACTCATTTCAAATAAAATGTCATTGACGGGAGATTTCGAAAAGGAGTCTCGTGCTTTTATGAGAGCAAACGAATTGTGTTTGCATATTTCTCGAGTAACCGTCTAAAAGCAATGTTCTGTCGTTGACGTCGCCGCCCTTACGGGTGGCGACTCCGACGGAGTTGTCTCACATTCCATTGCCTTGTGGAGCGGCGTCGCTGCCTTTATCATTTGGGACTGGCCGTGAGACGTACATGCCAACCTTTTTGGTGTATTGCCTTTCTTAGGCTAAAAAATATAGGTAGGTTCGGGTATAGAATTTTTTTATCAAATTGGGTGAAATTGTGGTCTAATATTGAAATCTTGCAATCCCGATTCTCAGTTAAGATTTTTTTATATAAAATCGTGTTGGATATATGACATAATCTTAGCAGCTGGCGCAATTGGAATCCACAATTGCTGAGACTGAGTGGGATTGGTCCTGCTAAGCATCTGAAGGCGCATGGAATCAACGTGGTTTTGGATCAGCCATGGGTGGGTGCCGAAAAGTTTCATTGAATCAGGCAGTGGATTAAGATTGAGCTATTCTTGATCTGAAAAGCTTCAGAGGATTTTTGAATGTGTCAAATTAGGTTACTATCGGTTATGCTGCAAAGTCTGAAATGAAACAACAATTTGAGCTTTGTTTCTGAAGATTTAAGAATCTGTGTTTAAGGGATGAAAACCATCGTTGATGACAAAAAAAATTTCATTAAGCGCACTAAATATGTTTTTATGAAATTAGTAATGGAAAATTTTTTCATATAATTTGATAATATCTAATTGTGTTTTGAAATTGAAGTCAAATGCGATATTTTAATGAAGTATTATAATGTCGTGTCGTTAATATTTATTTACTTTAATGATACTAATACAGCAGAAAGACAACCCTAAAATAATATCTACTGGTTGCTTGATAAATGATTTATTTTATTATAATGAATTATTTTGAAAAATTGTTGAAATGGATTATTTTACTTGTGTAGGTGTTGCTCGAAAATCACGTTACTGAACTTATTCATTAGTTATCTTCCAGTATCTGAAAAAGAAATTGTGTAACTATTTTCAATTATCGTAATAAATTAAATTTAATAATTTATTTTGAATAAAAATATAATATTTTTTATTTCATCTGTAAAATAATATATTATAATAATTGTATAATGCTTGCTTATAATTATTTGTTTTAAACATATCAACAATTGAAAGTTTAAATTCTTAACAAATTACGACAAATATTTGTGTTATTAATAATTTTTTAAACTTGTGATTGAAAATTTTGGTTATTAAAAAATGTGACCAAATATTAGCGATTACTATTTTTACCTCTAAATCACCGTCTTTAAATATATTATAACTTGGTTGTTAAAAAATGTACAACCAATATCAACATACTATAACTTAAAATTGGTGTAGTTAATAATTTGTGACCAATATTTCTTTCCATCTCTAGTAATTGTGTTTTGAAAATACTAATCATTATTGAAAACTTTAATTACTAATAATTCGTGATTAATATTTCTGTCTCCAAAACTATTATATTTTAAATATGTTAAACACTTCAAATTTTGGTCATTAATAATTTGTGATCAATATATGCCTCTTTAGTAGTTTTATTGTAACCAAAGTAATTAGATTTTTGGTTGCTAAAAAATGTACAACTAATAATTTCATGTTGAATATTTCTTTAAATTAGTTAGTCATTAAAAAGTTATTAGTTAATAATTAGCAACCAATATTTTTATCTCTTATAATTATTATAGATATATTAGCTATGAACTTTTTTATTTATAATTATTATGTTTTAAATATCAATGATTGAAGTTTTTGTCACTAATAATTACAATCAATGTTTTTGTCTCTAAATAAATTTTATTTTAAATATATTAATCATTAGAAATTTTGATCGCTAATAATTTGTGACTAGCACTTATGTCTCTAAATCACTATTTTTTCAACATATTATCAATTAAAAATTTTGGTCACTAATAATTTACGATAATAATTTTGTTATAAGCATACTGAAAAATTTAGTAATTAATTATCTGTGACAAATAATTTCATCTCTAAATTATTATGTTTTCAATATATTACAACATCAACTTTTTGTTACTACTTTTTTTTATTGATATTTTTGTCGCTAATAGTTTCTTAACATGTCAATAACTTAAATCGGTTATTATATTTTTTCTTTTTACCGAAATTTTTATCTTAGTATTTGTTTTAAATGAATTAGTGACTGAAAACTTTGGATACTAAAAATTTCTGACTGATATTTCATTTTAAATATTTTAATAACTGAAATATATTTTATCGCTAAATATTAGTGATTAATTCTTTTGTCTCTAAATCATTATGTTTTAAACATATGAAAACTTAAAATTTTGGTCTGTAATAATTTGTAACTAATATTTTTGTTTCTAGTACTTTTGTTTGAAACATACCAGTGATTGAAAACTTCGATCATTAATAATTTGCCACTAATGTTTCCATCTAAATCATAAACATATTGTTGACTTAAATTTTTGGTTGTTAATCATTTCTAACCAATATTTTTTTCTATAATTTTATTTTAAATATAGTGGCGGTCAATTCTAATTGTTAATAATTTGCCACTAATATATTTTTATTTAGTTAATTTTGTAAACATATTAATATTGAAATTTGTTGTCACTAATTATAAGAGTTGCCTTTAATATAATTTTGTTTTAAACATATTAGTGTTTGGAAAATTTAATCGTTAATAATTTGTGACTATTAACCCGTCTTTAAGTGAATATGTTTTCAACCTATTAATGATTTAAAATTTCTATCACTAATAATTTGTGATCAATATTTTTGTCACCAATAATTTTAATAAACATATTAGTCATTAAAATTTGGCATACAAAAAATTTTCATCACCACTATTTTTGTCTCTAATGTTATTTTAAATGAATTAGTGACTTAAATTTTGGTTGCTAATAAATTATGACCAATGTTTTTACCCTCATATATTTCTGTTTTAAGCATATTAGTGACTCTAAAATTTGTTCACTAAAAATTTGTGACCAATCTTTTCATCTCAAACCATTTTTTTCAAACATGTTAGGCATTGAAAATTTTGATAGTTGTAATTGGAGACTAGTATTTTTGTCTTTTAATATTTTTTTTAAACATGTTTGGAAGTGAATGATATTTGTTACTAGAACTTTTGTGACTAATACTTCCGTTTCTAGTATTTATTTTTAAACATGTTAATGGTTAAAAATTTTGGTTGTAATAATTTTTAAGTATTTTTGTCTTTTAATATTTTTTTTAAACATGTTTGGAAGTGAATGATATTTGTTACTAGAACTTTTGTGACTAATACTTCCGTTTCTAGTATTTATTTTTAAACATGTTAATGGTTAAAAATTTTGGTTGTAATAATTTTTAAGTAGTATTTTCATTTCTAAATATTTTTCTTTTAAACACGTTAGTTTTTTTTCACTAAATCTTAACTATCAATAAATTCATTGCTAATATTTTTTTAAAGATCTAGTGACTGAAAAAAGTTTATTATAAAACATTTACAGTCAATGTTTTGTGTCTAATAATTCTGTTTCAAACATACTAAAATTTGAAAAAAATTTATCACTAAATATTACTGACTAATATTTTGACACTAATAATTGTTTTAATATTTTAGTGACTGGAATTTTTATATGTTTAAAAATTTTGACCAATTTTTAAACATATTATTAACTTATATTTGTGGTCGTTAAAAATATTTTCAATGCATCATATTTGTCAAAAAATTAGTGACTTAGTAGTCCAAAAAATTAAACACCATATTTGTCAACGCATTTGTTACTACTTTTTTTGTTTTGAATATATTAGTGCTAAAAATCTTTGCTTAAAAATAAACAAACAAATTTTTTTTCATAATTTAGATTTAAAATTTCACGAACGAAAAATGTAATCGCAAAAGATTAATAACCAATATTTTTCTTTTATTTCTTAAAAGTATTATCGATTGAGAATTTGATTACTAAAATGCCAGCGATATGATTACTAAAAAACAGATGTATTTTCAAGAATCGAAAATAATTCACGCACTAAAAAAACATATTTAATTAAATTATTTCCATATAATAAAAAAATATACGTTTATATATATATATATATATATATATATATATATATTAAAAACATAAAATATTAAATAATGCGAGAGTGCATATGGTTTTCTCATTTTATTAAAAACAAAATATATTTTAAAGAATAAAATAAAACACACATTTATAAAAAACACCTATAGTAACGAAAAGCAGATATAAAAGTATTAATTTCTTTATCTGCATATAATGATCATATGTTTACATAATGATAATATAAATTAAATTATTTTTTATTTAAAATAAATCTTTTCAAGAATTTAAAATAATTTACACGTACGTTTGGATGGAATAATTTAACAGAGTAATTTATTTAATAGAGAATTAATTGATAAATTAATTTTTTTATTGTAAAATTAGTTGTTTGGGTAAATAAAAGGATAATTTTGTTATAATAAAATAGATGAATTTGAATTTTTTTAAATTTTTTTTCCACACTTACTGACGTTCTCTCCAGGGCCTCACGCTCTCTCTGCTTCCCTTCCTCAAGCGCTTTCTCTCTCGGAACATTCTCCCTCCGCTCTCCCTTGATATGCTGTTTCTCTCTGGGATTTTTTTCGCCGCCTAGTGATTCATGTTTGGTTTATTTCTCAATTCTTTGACATAAGTTTCGTTATCGTTTCGTTTGTGTTTCGTTCTCTGATTTCATGGATATAAAGGTTTAGTCTATTTTGGGTTGCAACAGAGCCAAACACTTCTATCGGTGGTGTACGCATTTCCTTCCAGCAGACTGTTCTTCGCTCTCGCCTTCTCACGGTAATCCCTTTTCTCATTTTGATTCTTAACCTGAAGCTATACACCACTTGGGCATGTAGTTATTTACTTAGTTCGTTCCCTTTGTTGTTTCCAATTTGTAATGATCGTGTTATAGTTTGTATTTATGTTCGCGTTTCCCTGTTTCACATTGAATTCTAGTTGATAGCGTGTGTTTGGCTGGATGTGGCAATTCTTGGAATTTAACCAATTTGCTTATTTGCCTACCACCTATTTGATGAAATGCCCGTGCTAAGGCCACTGCATAGAAATTTCTAGTAAATTCATCTTATTTATGTGATCTGTGGTTGGGTATGTGTGTGTTAAAGTAAAAAAGTTAGGGGAAATTCATGTGTTTATATAAATTGTGTTTTTTTCTTAGTTTGGGTGTCTGGGGCTGAAATTTCACTGTTTCAAGAGAGGACAGGGTACGCCTTTCACTGAAACTTGGAAAATTGTTGACAAAATGTTGCCAACATGATAGAAGATGATAAAAGTTGAATAATAGCTGCTATTAGTGACAAATTGAAAGAAAAGCATGTGATTAAGACTTATAGACGCATCCCATTGTGGCCAAAAAAACGTCTTCTTAGCAAGGCTTCGCCTTTGTTTATTTGGGTAGTTCAATAGTTATGGTCCTTTCCATTTTCCATCCTTTATTTTCATTAAAAAACAGGTTTAAATGATTTAAAGTGTCTGGATTTCATTAAAATTAAGGTAGACTTCACAGTTGAAAGAATATTTACAGAAGTAGTTATAATTCATCCACATGTGTAACTTGTTTGATTGTTTTGACGATCGGTTTGAGTAATTTCAGTTCTGATGTAAATCTGATTTGAATTTATTTGAGTTTTGTACAAGCCAGTCTGCTTTGTGATTGTGGGAAAATGTTATTAGTTAAGAAAGAAAATAGACGTTGTTATATTATTGTAAACTTCAGTCATGGATGTATAAAAAACTTGAGCGAGAGGTACTAGAATGTGGACCCAAAGCATAGCATATGATGTGTTGAAAAACTTGATTGAAAATGTACTAGAAGTTGTGCTGGGCAATGTGTAATTTTTTGAAGGTTGAGTAATAAGTTTGTTCACTTTGTTTGGATGTTTGAAGTTGTCCAACTTGGTGTGGCCTAAAATGTTAAAAAGCGGGGAGTTTTGGAGGTTTATGAGTTGACATTGCATCTTTGAATGTGGAAAATTTCGTTGTAATATTTGATCTTTCAAATTACTTTTTTATGGCTAGTTTGCTGTATACAAATTACTCGTTTTGGTAATATCTACACTATTTGATATCAAAACTATTGGCAGGACTGCAAAATGCTAGACTACCAGCACCAGAATTTGCTGGTGTATAGTTTTAAATTATGGAAATAGCAATATAACCTGTTAGTTGGGTGAGATTTAGGGATATCCTTTATATTAAGAGAGTTATAGTTTTTCTTCTTTATTTTAATAGTTATGACAAATTTTTTCTTACTAATACTTATATTAATTTATTTTATATTATTCTTCTACAATCAAATTTATTTCCTTTCCACCTTTTTCCTGATTTCATGGAAGAAAACTTTTGGTTTGCAATTCTCAACAACTTCGTGGTTAATGAGACTAAGTGAGTGCTTAGTGGATTAATCTTACTGATCTCCGTGGTATTTAAAGTTGAAATTAGGACAAAAGTTTTGTCATGGTCACCATATAAGCAATTCTTTGTCATGGTCCATGTAAGTCTAACACTCAAGTTTGAAGTCAGTAATCTTTAGCAACACCTTGCGCTGCACTATATCAATATATGCAAAGCACAGGTCCTAGACCATGCTTTTATTACACCTATATTTTCAATTTATTTATATATTAGTTAATGATCAGGATTATTGCGCTTTTGTAGGCAAGGTAGATGTCAAATAGGATTGAAGCATGATTTGGAAGACTTATTACTAGAATGAAGGATTGTAAAAGGCAAATATTAAATACGAAACCAATGACTTGTGCACATTATTTAGTTTTCTTTTTATTAAGGTTCCAACATAAAACCAATTGGCACTATGTAGAGTAGCCTAACATGTATTTAAACCATACCAAATGACATGAGGTAGACAATGTGAGACTTTCAACACGCCTCCTCCAACGAAGCCTGCCAGGCCAGGCAAAAGATACTTTTGACCCAATGAAATGACAACTTTTGGCCCAAGACAACAACCGGAAAGATGTTAGGTTTTGACTCTGATACTATGTTAAGGGTCCAACATAAAACCAATTGACAATATGTGAAGTAACCTAACATGTATTTAAGCCATACCAAATGACATGAGGCAGACAATGTGAGACTTCCAATACTTTTTTATGTGTAAATCATATGTTTTGACATCATAAATTCGAATTATGATTGAAAAATCAATTACCACTAAAAGATCTACCATGATAGGGATTTACATGTTTATGTTGTCATTATGGATTCAATTATATTCCACTAGATATTGAACTTTTATGTTATCTCTTGTAATTGCAATTTTTATAACTAGGTGATTTTATCGTTGTTGAATGGAATGATTAGTAAATAATATTATATTTAAAAATATTAATTTTTGTATTTTTTTTAATATTATCTAATATTAAAAAATTGAATTATTAAACATTATTTGAACATTTAAAATTGACTAACATTTATTTTTGGTAAAGTTCAATATTAAAAATTTAAATTGTAAAATAAATATTTTAAAATAGAATCATATCTTAGAGGAGAAATTCAATTATTTTATCCAAACAAGGAAAGTGAATATATGATATTTCAATTACTTTATCCAAACAAAGCATTTGGAAAATGAAGAGAATTCAATTGCAAGTAATTTAAATAGCATTCAATTCCTTAGAATTGTTGAAATCTGATAGGTTTTAAGGGAAAATGCCAAGATAAAGAAGAAAGAATGAAAGAAAATCTTCTTGAATTCCAGAACAGATACAAGAATACAAGCAAGTTCCGGAGCTAGGCTCCTCGGAGAAAGGTTCTCCGCGGATTTACAAAAACAACCCTCCTAAAACTTTTTTTCTCCCAAAGCACTTCTATCATCTCTTATTAATAGTTGATCATGAACAGTTAAACAGAAACAGTTGAACAGAAACAACTAATAACTTCTAACTACTTTTATTAACAGATTTCTTTCTCCTAGAATAAACCAACCAATGTTTTGCCTTGTTTGGTTCAACAACATTTACAATATTATTAGGAATATCAGGATTCCTAACAAAATCCCTCGTCCAAACGCAAATTTAGTGATTTTTCTTGCTTCAAGTGAATTTTTATTTTATACTAATTGATAATTTATGGGTTATATTGGCAGGTTGTTTTTCCATAAAGTGCTCCCTTGAGCCAAAAGTTCTTGTGCTCCTATTTGTCTCCTTTCATCTTCCATAAGCTACACTTTCTGTGGCAATCTACAAAAGGCGATTAATTTTCACCACCCTCTATGAAGTTTGTGAGTTTCTTACTGTATCCCTTTCTTATATGTTCTTGGGTCTGTAGGGGCAAATGGAAGTACCTTCCTTTATACTCCTTTGGAAAATGTCCTCTTCATTGTTTAAATTTGTCTTTTTTTTCCTGGGTTTTGGAGACATGTTTGAGCAAAGGCAGGGGCTTTCACTTCCCACCGTGTCACATGCTGAATTTTTGTGGGATTAGGATATTATTAGATTGCCCACTAGACCTTTCTGCACTCCTGGCCTTCTCCCCTATACCTACTTCTCTGGATTGCTTGCCAGTTATAGAAAGCAACAACACTGAGGCTAATGGTTTTGATTCAACGGTTGGGTTTGGGAAAAGACAGAAAATTGAAAAGCTCCTTCATGCTAAAAGCTTACTTTTTGCTGAACCTTGGTACAAGACTGTTAATAATTTGCACCTATGGAATGCATCTTTCATTGATGTTGTATTAATATCCAGTTCAATGGGTATTATGGGGTTGCCCTTTCTTACTCGAATGAAGGGTTTCTCAGCTAAGGTAGTCTTTTGATGTTGTACGTTATTATTACTGAACTATGTTCTTATTTTTGTTAACTACGGTCACCAAAATTGTTAGCATGACATTTGTTCAATTGGTTAGATATATGTAACTGAAGCATCAGCAAGATTAGGCCAGCTAATGATGGAGGATCTTATATCAATGCATGAAGAATTTAGGCATTTCTATGGACCAGAAGAATCAAATTTCCCTTCGTGGCTGAAGCAGGAAGAACTTGAAATCCTTCCTTCTGAATTGAGAGAGATAATACTGGGAAAAGATGGACTGGAGTTGGGTGGTTGGATGCCTTTATACAGGTGATCTACCATTAATTAGTTGGCATTTTATCTCATATAACTGAATGAAATGTGCTTGACTAGTGAATGCAATGGTTTTATGGTATTATCTTCTTATTAATTAATATATTTTTTTATGTAAAAATGCTCTTAACTTTCTTGTTGCTTCCATGCTTGAGATTTATCGCTAACCCTTTATCCGGAAAATTAGATAAAATGAAATCTTATTTTATTATTTTAATACAAAGAGGTCATACAAGATATATCCAAGAGACCTAAGTTATTTTAAGAAATATAATAACTGTATTTTATTCTAGGATCCCTTGATTTATGAGATTGTTCCTAATTGTTCAAATTTGTACAAATTACAAATTTCCTAATTTATTCTTTCCTAAAATACTATTTGATTTCCCACACTCCCCCTCAAGCTGGTGAATAGGTGTTTTCCATTCCCAGCTTGGATACAATCTTCTCAAAATTGTGGCAGCTCAGTCCCTTGGTAAGAATGTCTGCAATTTGGTCTTGAGAGGACACATATGGAGTGCATATCAAGCCACTATCAAGCTTTTCTTTGATGAAGTGTCTGTCTACTTCAATATGCTTTGTTTTATCATGTTGCACTGGGTTGTGGGCTATGCTGATTGCTGACTTATTATCACAATAGAGCTTCATAGGTTCTTCCCATTTTATCCTCAAGTCTTCTAAGATGATTTTAAGCCATAACAACTCACATATACCTTGTGTCATGACTCGAAATTCCGCTTCAACACTGGACCGAGCCACTGCACCCTGCTTTTTGCTTCTCCAAGTCACAAGATTTCCTCCAAGAAAGGTGCAATATCCTGTAGTTGACCTCCTATCCACAATTGACCCTGCATAATCAGCATCAGTATAAGCTTCAAGTTTCACATTACTATTCCTTTTTAATAGAATCCTTCTTCTTGGAGTTTCTTTAAGGTACTGTAAAATTCTGTGGGCTGCTTGTAAATGGGTCTCCTTTGGGTTATGCATAAATTGACTAATTAAACTCAATGCATAGGCAATATCTGGTCTGGTATGCGACAAATATATAAGTCTGCCCACTAATCGCTGGTACATATCTTTTTCAAGAACATCTTCTTCTGCATTTCCAAGTTTTAGGTTTGGTTCTAGTGGGGTACTAGCAGGTTTACAAGCTGCCTTGCCAGTTTCCTTGAGAAAATCAGAAATGTATTTCTGCTGTGATATAAATATCCCTTTCTTGGAGTGAGCAACCTCAATTACCAAAAAATATTTTAGTTTTCCCAAGGTCTTGATCTCAAATTCCTTGCCTAAGCATTGACTCAACAACTGCTGCTCTTCTTTATTATCTCCAGTTAATATTATGTCATCCACATACACCAATAATATTGTTACTCCCCCTGACTTGAAATGTTTAAAGAACAAAATATGGTCCCCTTGACTTTGTTTATAACCCAGACTTGTCATAACTTTAGTAAATTTGTCAAACCATGCACGGGGGGACTGTTTTAGCCCATATAATGCCTTTTTCAACTTGCAAACAGTGTTGACAACATCTCTACCATATAGGTATCTCCATATAAATTTCTTCTTCAAGGTCTCCAAGTAGGAAAACATTCTTAACATCAAATTGTTCTAAGTTCTAACCATAATTGGCAGCAAGGGACAATATCACCCTAACTGTGTTCATTTTGGCAACCGGAGCAAAGGTCTCCAAATAATCAACTCCATAGGTTTGGGTGAACCCTTTGGCAATTAGTCTTGCCTTATATCTCTCAATTGATCCATCAGCCTTGTATTTCACTCTATAGACCCACTCACATCCAACTGGCCTTTCCTATTGGTAAGGTTACTAACTCCCAGGTATTGTTCTTCTCCAATGCCTCCATCTCTACATCCATGCCTTGCCTCCATTTTCTGTCAGACAACGCCTCAGATAGGGTATTAGGTAGAAGTACAGTGTTTAGGTTTACTAGGAAGGTTTTATGGGTAGGAGAGAAATTTTTGAAGGACAGGTAATTTGAGAGAGGGTAGAGTGGTTGTTTGGTGCATTTTCTTGTTCATTTTCTAATGGCAATTGAGAGGTGAAGATCATTTTGAGTTTCAATTTCAACCTGCACAGCTGGAGAAAAAATTGTTACCTTTTTTTGTGAAGTCGAGTTGGATTCTTGAACATGGCTTGATCCTGGAATGACCTTAGTCTTCCTTGAGTACACCAGCTTCTTACCAAATTTTCCAGCTTCAACATCTTCTTGATCAGCTTCACAATTAATTTCACTTTCTTGACCAACTTCCTTTTCTTGACCAATAATTCCTTGACTTGTTTCACTTATTATAGCTTCAATTTGATCTCGTTTAGGTTCAAATATCAAGTCGGGAATAATGGAAAAACCAGAATTACTACTTTCAAGTTGATCTCGTTTAGGTTCAAATATCAAGTCTGGAAGAATGGGAAAACCAGAATTACTACTTTCCTTATCTTCCTTATCTTCCCTGAAACTCTCCCTCTGAAGATAAGGTTGATGGAAATAGCCCTCTTGTTCATTGAAGGTAACACCCTTAGACACAAAATTTTTTGGATGGGAGGTGGTAGCATTTATACCCTTTCTGAGTGGGTGAGTAACCAACAAAGACATATTTAAGGCTCTAGGATCAAGTTTCCCCCTGTCTGTACTATGAATATGGACATATGAGACGCACCAAAAAACTCTTGGTTTAAGATTATTTGTAGTGGACATGTTTGGATAGAAAGATGACAAAGCTTCCATAGGGCTTTTTGATCCTTAGACTCTAGAGGGTAGTCTATTGATAAGGTATATACTGTAAGGACAACTTCCCCCCATAAATTTTTTGGGACACTTTTTTGGAACAAAAATGCCCGAGTCTGATTTAATAGATGTCCATTTTTCCTCTCTGCGACCCCATTCTGTTGTGGTGTTTTGACACAAGAGGACTCATGAATTATACCTTCTTTTTGACAAAAAGAATTAAGGGCATGATTGAAGTAATCTTTGACATTATCTGACCTAAGCCTCTTAATATTAACACCAAACTGATTTTTTATCAAGGAGTGGAAGTTTAGGAAGACAAAACTGACTTCTGATTTTTGTTTAAGTAGGAAAACCCAAGTGACCCTTGTACAGTCATCTATAAAGGTGATAAACCATCGAGCACCATTCACATTTGGAACATTAGAAGGTCCCCATACATCCGTATGAACAAGATAAAAAAAGAAATTGCTAATTCTAGTACTTATTGGAAAAGATACACGCTTGTGCTTAGCAAGTTCACACACCTCACAATGAAGACTCTCAACATCTAACTTGGTAAACACAGAGGGAAACATAATTTTGATCACTCCAAAAGAGGGATGTCCCAACCGACAATGATAAAGCATGATTTTTTCTCTATTGGTCATCAAAGATTCAGATATGAAGGAGTGAGAGATTTTGTTCTTGCTGGGCAGACTTGGATCTTAGAGATAATAAAGGTCATTCCATTCTCTAGCATGTCCAATCATCCTCCTCGAATCCTTCTCCTGAAATACACAATGATCGTTGAAAAAAACAACTTTACATGACAAATCCTTTATAAGTTTTTGTATAGACACTAGGTTGGTGGACAGCTTTGGGACATGGAGAACATCTTTTAAGATTATTAAAGGATTGATTTGGATATTTTCTTGACCAGCTACAGTTATAAAAGTTCCATCTGTTGTGGCAATTTTCTTGTTGCTGGGACATGGGGAATATGTGGAGAAGTGTTTGGCTAATGGTGTCATGTGGTCTGTGGCTCCAGAGTCCAATATCCAATAATGGTTAAAAGGTGTATATGAGACATTTAATCCAAAAGAAAGTGGAAACTTACCTAAGTATGCCAAAGAACACACACATGTAGGTTTTTCCAGCTTACTAAGAAAGGTTCTCACCCTTTCTATCTCCTCTTGGTTAAGATGAATTATTTCCTTCATTTGTTTCAGCAACAACATAAACTTGTCCTCCTTTTCTTAAGGAGTCTCCTCTGTGTCCCCCTTCTCGATCTTGATTTAAAGGTTTCCCATGTAACTTCCAACACTTCTCTCGAGTATGACGAGGCTTATTGCAGTAGGTACAAACACTTCTGTTCAACACTGTACGAACAAGTTGGGCCCACTTAAAATCATTTCTTCCATTTAGTTTATATGCAGAATGGATATTCTGCAGTTCTCCATATTGTTGGGATTGGATATTCCCCGTTTTTGGGGTTGGGTTCATAACTTCCTCTTCCCTTGACATTATAGCAAGAAGGTGCGATGCAACAACAATGCAGACTGTCGTCTTAGGGTTAAGAAAAATGAAGCATCAATGCATGCTGTCGTCTTAGGGTTAAGAAAAATGCAGCAGCAATGCAGGCTGCCATCTTAGGGTTAAGAAAAATATAGCAGCAATACAAGCTGCCGTCTTAGGATTTATAGTGCGCAGACAAAACTTCCTAGATCGGAAGCTCTGATAAAAATTAGATTAAATGAAATCTTATTTTATTATTTTAATACAAAGATGTCATACAAGATATATACAAGAGACCTAAGCTAATTTAGGAAATATAATAACTCTATTTTATTCTAGGATCCCTTGATTTATGGGATTGTTCCTAATTCTTCAAATCTGTACAGATTACAAATTTCCTAATTTATTCTTTCCTAAAATACTATTTGATTTCCCACATTTTATATGTTTGTGTGGATAGAAATTGAGGGTAGGAAAAATTTGACCTTTTGTTTCTAAAAGTTAACTTTCTTCTTTTCTTCCTATTTTCTGTTCATCCAAACAAAAGAAGTATTGTTATTTGTGTTTCTCTCTTTTCTATTTTCTCCCCTTTTATTCCAATAAATCATAAGATTAAGTGAAAATCACCTGAACCTTATTCTGGGTATGGGATGGGTTTGTTTAAAACTCATATGGTTCTGGGATTTTTTCAGTTATTTGCCTTGTGTGTTTTTTATATATGTTCATTTATTTAGTGTTTGTTAGTTTAGTTAAGCTGTTACTTTTTACACTGTTCTGTAAACCTTCTTGTTGTGTGCATTTCTTATTTGAAGTAAATTATCGCTATTTTTTGTTAAAGTTTTAATTTGTGGAATTTCTCAGTGCAGCTGATGTGAAGGATTGTATGCTAAAGATTCACACTCTTAATTATGCTGAGGAAGCTTGCTACAATGGTACATTGGTTATAAAGGCATTCAGCTCTGGTTTAGAAATAGGCAGTTGTAATTGGATCCTAAATAGTCCAAAGGGAGATATTGCTTATGTTTCAGGATCCAGCTTCATTTCTGCATATGCAATGCCTTTTGATTACCACAGTTTACAGGGGACTTGTGCATTAATTTATTCAGACTTCTTCTCCTTGGCTGATACTCAAGGTAGTGAGGATGGGGATAAATTTTCTGTTTCAACTGATGATACGTTTCAACCTATGTGGTATGGTATATTGAAATTTTATTCCCCTTCAAACTTTATGTTGTATCCAGACATCAGTTATAGTTATTCACGTTTTCATCCTGACTGTAGTAATTAATATTTATGCACATATCAATTTCCATGTTGTTTATTTTTGAAGTTCTCAAGATTTGGCTGGATTCAACCATAAGTCTGATGAAAAGGAAAAGCTGGTTTTCATATGCTCAAATGCTATAAATTATATCAATAAAGGTGGTTCAGTTCTTATTCCTATTGATCGACTTGAAACTATTTTGCTTCTTTTGGAGGAAATGACAACATCACTTGAAGCTTCAGATATGAAGGTGTCCTTTCCTTGTTTACTATCTTCTCTATTAATCAATTATCAAAGTCAAGAAAAACTATGACAAATATGTGAAATATATTTTGAGGGTGTCATTAATTAGCTTTGTTCTGCCTAACCCCATACCCTCCTTTTCAGTTGATTGTTCCTACTAACTAGCAAAAAACCTTGTTTTTGTGCTTGTAATGGAAATTGGGAAAAACTGGGAATGCAAAGTTCCATCTTTTAAAGTGTGTATAGTGAACTAGAAATCAATATATTTTTCTAGTTAAAGAAACGTTATTATCTGGAAAATGGATTTCTGGAATAATATCTGAGATGCTTACTGTTTTCTATAATTAAGTAATTGCAATCTTTCATTGTAGGTTCCAGTTTATATAATTTCTTCAATGGCTGAAGAATTACTGGCATTGCTTAACATCATACCTGAGTGGCTTTGCAAACAACAGCAAGAGAAAGTACGGACTTTAGAATTATTAATTGGGTCCATTACACTTGCATACTTTTTTATATATATAGTTTTACTTCCATTTTACCTAGTTTAATTGCTGCTGCAGTTGTTTGCTGGGGAACCATTGTTTCCACACCTCAAGCTCTTAAAAGAGAAAAAGATTCATGTGGTTCCAGCTATTCATTCACATGAACTCTTGTGAGTTCATCTTTACCATGTTTTTCCTTTTTCTTTGAATATAATCATCTAATTAAAATGGAAGTGATTAACGTAATTTTGTATGTTTTCTGAACTTTTTATATGCAAAATCAAGTGTTATAGCAATGTTTACAATTTGGGTAACGCTATTGTTTCATAACTGTTTAGTTTCTATTAATAGCCTCAAGATATGAGAAGCACTTGATTTTAACAAACTGCATTAGTCAGAAATGGTTTACCTATACCTTTTTATTGTAAGTTTCTATCAGAAATTGATGTATTTCTTGTAGAATTAATTGGCAGGAACCCTGCATTGTATTTTGTCCTCACTGGAGTATGCGAATGGGTCCTGTCATTCATCTGCTTCGACAATGGTGTGGCAATCCAAATTCTTTACTTATTCTTGAGGTACGATAAATATTCCTCTGTTACAACATTAATAAGCTTGTGTTACAACACCATTTTAGACTATGCTTTAGTGTTATTACACTGCCTTATCCCCATCTTTTTGTTGCGTGGATGTAACTCAAAACTTTCTGGATAATGTGTTTAAATTACATGGGTTACCTAGCACCATTACTAGTGATAGGGATCTTGAGTTGTTGCAACTTTAAAGTGTCTCAAATCTACAGCTTATCAGCCTGTGATGGACAACCAGAGATTGTTAACAAATGCCTTGAGACTTATCTTAGATACATGTGTTTGGATAAACCTTCTTCTTGTCCATGTGGCTTGCCTTGGCCGAGTGATGGTATGATACCAATTTTCAATCTTTCATTCATATGACGTAGTTTATGGACAGGTTCCCCCAATCCATCTGCCCTACCTCCTTGGTGAAGCTTAGCTGTAGAATACGCTGTAATGAATGAAAATGAGGTGGGACCCGAATTAGAGGCTGACAAGCAAATAGGAATTCAGGATACGTGGCACAAGATCTTCAAAAGATTATGCGAAGGAAAAGCACACGCATAAAGTTTGTTAGCTCAAAATTGCATGGGTTTGAATGATGGGAAAGAAGGTGATAAAAGAATTCGGTTAGAGGACAGAGGGGAGAAAAAAAGAAAGAAAAGTTGGACAGTCTCCTTTCTCTCGCGGGAAATCTATTTTTTTTTTGCTGAAAGAAACATTCTCTGCATTTAATTGCTTTTACTGTGCAATCTCTGCTATTTTGTAGCCATGAAGGAATAGTATGATTTGACTCTAATAATACCAGTCCTTTGACTGAAGTTCCATATCCATTCTGTCTTTGTTGATATACGCAATACCTTATTTTTTAGACATAACATTTGGTGCTTTCATCTGCTCACATGGCAGACAATACGCATCTCAAAGACCTTTCCAATGACGTGAAAAAAATATTGGACCTCATGGAATCTCGCAATGTTGACTACAATCTACGTTTTCACACCCTCAAAAAGGCTATGGATGACTTCATTAAGAAACCAGCTGAGGGCCCGTCTAGTTCATCTAGCAAGGGCCCTCCCTTTCAGGTGCGTAATGTCAAAATGGACTTTCCACGCTTCGCAGGTCCTAATGTACTGCAGTGGATCTTTAAGATTGAGCAGTTTTTTTATTATTATAATATTAGTGGATGATCAGAGATTAACCATTGCGGCTATTCATTTTGACAAAGAGGTGGTCCCATGGTATCAGCTGATGTCTTGCAATAAATCTTTTACATCATGGACCGACCTGACTCGAGCTCTTGAGTTAGAATTTGGTTCATCCACATATGAATGTCCTAGATCAGATTTGTTCAAGCTGCTACAACATGGGTCTATTCAGGATTATTATGTCCAGTTTACTGCTCGAGCTAATCGAGTACAGGGTGTTACAACAGAGGTCTTGCTTGATTGTTTTATTGGGGGTTTAAAATCTGAAATCTGTCGAGATGTTGTTGCTCAAAGTCCCACTACATTAATGAGGTCTGTGTCTCTAGCCAAGCTGTATGAAGAACGCTATGCTTACAAATCTAAACCCTATTCCCTTTCAGCTACTCCTAAAATACACACCACTACTACATACGCTTCCGTGTCCCAAACCGTGAAATCCACTAGCCTTCCACCCCTCCTTCCGACACCAAACCACTCTACATTCAAACCGACCAATGTTAAGAAACTATCTTCAGCTGAGGTGCAACTCCGTTGAGAAAAAGGATTGTGCTTCACTTGTGATGAGAAATATTCCCCGACTCACAAATGTCCCAATAAACAATACTTATTCTTGTAAATTGGGGAAGTTGAGAATGTAATTACTGTAGAGGAGAATATAATTATGGAACCTGAGCCTCAAGATCTTGCTCAACAACAAGAATCTCTTGAGCATCATTTATCTTTTAATGCTTTAAAAGGCTCTTCTACTGTGGGCAAGATGAGATTTAAAGGATCTATAAGTGGTATTATCATACAAGTTTTGTTGGATAGTGGAAGTTCTGATAATTTTCTTCATCCAAGATTAGCAAGTTGCCTGAAATTAACCGTGGAGCCAGTCCTAGATTTCTAAGTATTGGTAAGCAATGGCCACTCTTTAATTGCTGAAGGGGTAGTCCAACAGTTGGAAGTTTTGGTTCAAGGTCACTGCCTCAAATTATCTGCATACCTTCTCCCTATTATTGGTGCTGATTTAGTCCTGGGAGTCGCCTGGCTAGCCACACTTGGTCAACACATCTGACTACAGCTCCTTGACACTGAAATTTTATTTGGAAAACAAATTTGTGACTTTTCATGGTGAAAAACCCCAAATCGCAAGCCCTGCCCAGTTCAATCATTTCAGAAGGATGTCCCATACTCATGCTATTGCTGAACTATTTACGTTATAGGCTGAACCTCTCCTCTGCTCTTTGAATGATTGGTTAGACATACCTCATGACATGAAACCTAAATTGGCTATTTTGTTGCATACATACAAACAGGTCTTTGCTGTCCCTAAAGGCTTACCTCCTAATAGATCTCAAAACCATGCTATACCATTGATGAATGGAACAGGACCGATCAAGGTGAGGCCTTATCGATACCCACATAGTCAAAAGTTGCAGATTGAAAAAATGATTCATGATATGTTGGAAGAGGGCTTGAGTGTTCCTAGCACCAGCCCATTCTCTTCTCCAATAGTTTTGGTAAAGAAAAAAGATGGCACTTACAGCATTTGGAAAGCTTCCTACAAATACTGCTTCAGCATCAACTATATGCTAAGTTTTCAAAATGCTCATTTGGCTTGCAATCTGTTGACTATTTAGGCCATTCAATTTCTAGAGATGGGGTGTCCATGGAGCAAGAAAAGATTAAAGCTGTGTTGGAGTGACCTGTCCCTCTTAATCTCAAACAACTTAGAGGATTTTTGGGCCTCACAAGGTATTACAGAAGATTTGTTAGAGGATATGCTTCCATAACCGCACCTTTGACTCATATGTTAAAAAAGGGTATTTTTCATTGGAGCACTGAGGCTTTGACAACATTTGATTCCCTCAAATTAGCTATCACACGAGCCCCTGTATTGGCTTTTGTTAAGGTTCCAACATAAAACCAATTGACAATATGTGGAGTAGCCTAACATGTATTTAAACCATACCAAATGACATGAGGTAGGCGATGTGGGACTTTCAACACACCCCCTCTAACGAGGCCTGCCGGACCAGACAAAGGGTACTTTTGACCCAACTAAAGGGCAACTTTTGGCCCATGACAATAACCGGAAAGATGTTAGGTTTTGACTCTGATACCATGTTAAGGTTCCAACATAAAACCAATTGGCAATATATGGAGTAGCCTAACATGTATTTAAACCATACCAAATGACATGAGGTAGGCGATGTGGGACTTTCAACAGCTTTACCTAATTTTGATAAACCGTTCACATTGAAGACTGATGCTTCGGGTCTGGGCATAGGGGCTGTGTTGAGCTAAGATAATCACCCAATTGCCTTTTTCTCTAAGAAATTAAATCCTACTCTACAGAGGAAATCCACCTATACCAGAGAGTTTTACGCTATTACGGAGGTTATTGCCAAGTTCTGCCACTATTTGCTTGGAC